TTTAGAGTTATTCTTTGAGATCTTGTAATTGGGAAAAAGGGTTTTGAGTGTTTTATGTATTGGGGTGTGAGAGTTCGTGAGGATTCCTGTTTTTATAATATTGTATTGTAAGAGTGCAATGTGTGAGCTTCTAGGGTGAAGCCGAATGAGCTTCTAGTGAGAGGCCGAGTGTAGGCACTTCGGGAGTGTTGAATGAATCTAAGTTTGGGACTTAGGTTGGGTAAGATAGGGTCTTATCGTGTAGCAAGTTCAGTCAGGAACTTGTGAGTAAAGGTCTGTCACTTAATAGGTTTGTAACTTGGTGTTTGCCCTATTATAGTGGATTGGTTTGACTTGAAATCCCTTGGAGGGTCGAGGTTTTACTTCAAGTTGGGCCCTGGATGGTTTCCTCGTAAAATCCGCTTTGCATTGTCTAAGTTCCTAACAACAATCAGTGTTATATTCCGCGAAAAGTAGGCACTAGGAACATACTACAATTCACCCCCCTCTTGTAGTATATCATCCGAAATAACATATATATTGTGTGTTACTTATTCCACATTTGTGATAGTGGAGGTAAGTCAAAGCTAGGTCAAACCACAAGGAACGCTCATGCTCAAGTATTTCTTATTAACGCCTAAGCTAGGTCAAAGTCAAGAATGACACTAATGGAAAAAAAATCCTATTTATAACACCTTATGTTTAACGGGCACAATTATGTCAATTACAATTCATCTATTTGTAACGGGCAAAGTAAAAATACATTACATTAAAGGAGTGTTAAGGGTATGAGGAATAGTATTTGTAACGGGCAAAAAGGTGCCTGTTACAAAAATTAGTTTATTCATAACGGGAATCGTTTTTCCCAATACAAATAGGTAATACATAATACAGAGTAAAAATAAAAACCTGGGTCAAGTCGTCTAACTTCACTTTTCATTTTTCCCTTAGCAGGCGCTTTCCTCTCTTTCTCTCTCCTAAATTTCTCCTCGACTCTCTCTCTCTCTCTCTCCTGAATCTAATTTCTTTCTCATCGGAATCTTCAGCAATGGAAACCTACCGATCGAGTTACCATGTTTTCTATGACTCACTGAGATCATCGTCCCAAGAAGCGTCCGCATTTTCGATAGGATGTTGCTCCTTAAACTCCAAAGGTATTCGATCCTTTCTTTTAATTTTAATGTTTGGTGTTTTTTGCTTGATATGGAGCAATTTACTTCCAACTAGAAGAATTTATTAGATTTAATGTGAGATTTTAATATGATTTTGATTCGGATGATTTTTTGGTTAAATTAAATTTTTTGGTAGGACTCTAGAAATCCATAATCTACAAAGTTCAAGTCCCCAACATTTGGAAAGAAGGAATCATGACCATCTTTAAGGATGGCTTTCTTTACATATACATACCAAAGATCCAAAAGTTTGAGCACAAAATTATTTACATTAACGTCAAAGCATCTAGCGTAATCGCCGTATCATTAATCTTCGTAAATCTATCTTAAGAATTTGTCCTTTAAATTTTTTTAATAAAACAGAAAATATTAATGATAGGAAGCTAAGATAATAACAAATCATTCAAGTCATGTTTGTCTTCTTTTTTTTTTTTTGTGTGTGTTTTATGTGTCTAACAGTTTTGTGTGTCTAGCTAGATGGTGTAACCATATTATTTAAAACTAAGTATGAATAATCTTTTTCAATTGTATGTATGGGTAACCTCATTTACTAAAAAGAGTAATCTCGTTTTGTGCTAAAAGTAACCCAAATTCCTAATTTGAGAAATATCAAGTAACTAACAAATACTTCGTAACTCTCTTTGTTCATTTGAATAACCCCTATTATTTTGTTATGACTAGATAAAAAGTAACACCACTTAATTATAAGAGTAACATCATTTCCCAATTGAAGTAACTCGGCTAACCCCACGTACGTTAATGTTATCGCATTTGCTCGTGGTCATAACCCCTATTATACAATTAATTAGCTTTTTTTTTAGGAAAATACAATTAATTACCTTATATGTGAATTGGTCACACCATGTGACTATTGACTAGCCACATATAAGAATTTATTTAAATTTTCAGCCAAATTAATTACCTACGGAAATAGAAAAATTAATATTTGAAAAATAAAAGGAGAAACTATTGAACATCCAAGCTTTCATCTTTCATCCTTCATCTTCATAATGTTTTTACAAATTCATATTCAATCTTCATATATACTTCACCTTAAAACATTCTCAAAATCCACCCTAAACGATGCCTTGCTTTTTAAGCAAGCAACGAGAATGCATCTTAATCCACAGTTTCTACTTTCAAGGGTGCATGGAGGGTGTAAAAAGTGTGGCATTTGCAATATGGCAAGGCCATATAAGGGTATTGGTAATCCCTCTTTAGGTAGATCTAGCTTGCAGAGATTCATTAGGTCCTTCAAAAAGGGGTTTGCTTGGAAGGTTGGCAATGGTATGGGTATAAAGGCTATGAGCTCGCCTTGGGTCCAAGGGGAAATACCGACTGTTAACTCCACACAAACTTTGAGAGCAGTGATGCATTGGAAGGTTAGTGATTTCATTGATTCTGATACAATGACTTGGAAAGCAGGAAAGGCGAGAGAGTGCTTTGAGTGGAAGAGTGCTAAGGCCATCTTATTTATGGAGCTTCCCCCAAATCTTGATGATGATTACAGGTATTGGAAACATCATCCATCGGGGAATTACACTTTGAAAACAGGATACTATTTTCTCTCCAAAGGAAAGGTTTGGAAAGGAACAACTTTTCGCCTGCAGATCAAGACTTTGTGAAGCTAATATGGAGGTTAAACATCCAACCGAAATGGAGGCTTTTCATGTGGAGGCTTTTTCATGATGGTATAGCAGTTAAAACAAACCTAGCAAGGAGGGGGATACAAGTTGAGGAAGCTTGTGACTTTTGTGGGGTGGAAAGAGAGGAAATCCAACACCTCTTTCGGTATCGTAATCTAGCAAAGGAAGTCTGGGGAATTGGTTCCCTGACTATTTGCTCTCAAACTCCTGAGTTCAATTCGTTATGAAAATGGATTCAGCATTATATCCTGCTCTTTTATAGTGAGGATGATAAGCATAGTATGCGTATTACAACCTTTATCGCAACCATGTGGGGGTTGTGGAAAACCATAAATGAGAAGGTCTTCAATGGGGCAAGGGGGAGTACGAGCCTAGCCACGGAGTTCATCAACATAGTTTTGCAAGATCATGAGACCTTTGTTTAGTCAATAGGGCATGAGGATGGTTTAGATGGTGAAATTAGGAACGATCCTTGTCACCCATCGGGTTTCTTCCAGGTCAAGTTGGGGAGGGACAAGACCGAATATGATAGTTTCATTGTATAGGTGGATGGTGCATGGGATAAACATTCTACAAAGTCAGGGATAGGTGGGTTGTCACAGGTAGTGGAAACGCCAACACAGTTATGCAAGGGGGAGGGAAGCATAGGGCTGCTTCTTCCGCGCTACAATGTGAGGCTTGGGCATGCTTGGAAGTGTTAAAATGGGCTAAAGCAAGAGGGGAACAGGGGATTTTGATCGTTACGGACTCAGTCGCGGTAATCAACAATATGCAAGAGGGGCTAGGTAAGGATGTCTCGATAGCTTGGACGATCAAAGAAATCAAAGAAGTGGGAGGAACTTTCCAAAGGTGCGCAATCTTAAAAGTCCAAAGAGATCAAGTTCAAAAGGCTCACAACATTGCAAAACAATTTTGGCTCACTTTATTTAACTTTATGTCTAATACTTAGTTTGATTTGGTCTATGCTCTTGTAAAATAAAAAAAAAAAAATTTCTCAAAATCCCTAAGATGTATAAATATAATGCATAGAAATTAGTAAAAATAATCTCAAACATAATGAATTTGACTGAATTTTTAAGTCACATGGAATTATTTATTATTTCTATTAACTCATTATTATGAAGGTCACGATTTTTGTTGCTCCAAATACTTTTTCAGTAGTCCAAACCTTTTTCTTAGCTCAAACTCCCACAAACTTTAATCCAATTTTTGCTTTTGATAACCGCAACTTGAAACTGAGGTAATTTTAATTTTGAACCTCATAATTTTTATGCAAATTTTATAGAGTTGGATAACCTTTGAAATAAGCTTATACTCCCTCCGTCCCTTTTTGATAGTCACTTTTGGTAAAATTGTAGAAAATCACGGGAATTAATAACCATAAATAAGTAGCAAAAGTACATTGAAAAGGTAAATTTACATTGGGCATGAAAATAAGTAGAGAGAGAAAGTAAAATTTACATGGAAAAGTTAAATTTGCACAAATATTTTTGCAAATGAGAGAGAATTTTGGTATAAAAATAATATTAATAATACTTGAAAAAAGCAAATGTGCCTAACATTTTGGGTCATCAAAAATGACATAAATGACTATCAAAAGGGGACGAAGGGAGTAAAAGATAAAGGGTGTATGCGGCGCCAAAATAAAAGTAAAATGACAAAACTCTTCAAAAGTGAAACACGTAGGTTTCTTGCATAGAACTGCTCCCTGCGCTAGTCCTTGATTTTATTTTACTTTTAAGGGTTTTTTTTTTTTTTTTTTTTTTTTTTTTTTTTTTTTTTTTATTGGAAAAAATAGTACTGGTAGAAGAATGATGTTCAAAAATCAGCCTACTCCAATTCAAACAAGCCTTCATCACATTACATACAAACTGATCCATCACATCTTGAAGTAAATCACAAGCAAAGGATACACAACAAATTTAGCTTTGCACTGAAAATAGGGCTGATACGAAAATCACCCCACATTACATGTCAAATTTAGCAAGACTTAACATGTTAACATGTAGCAATAGTATTCTCACATAGGGCTGATACGAAAATCACCCCATGGCCCATATTACATGTCTAATCCATTCAGTACTACTTACTAAGGTCCCTGCATCGGTAGTGTGCTGGTTATTATAAAGAATAATGATCTTTCTAGAGGAAAAAATGAAATAATGTGCAATGCAAGTTGGCTGGTGCTTATATATCTGCATTGTGAGTCAAGAATACTTCTGAATCCTTATAGGCAGGACAACCAAATCCAGATAAATGATAATATGAAAATATCCAAGTTAAATTATTGGCTCCATGTAAAAAGCAGAAGCTTAATAGGTGAAATATAAAGTAACCTTAATCTTAAGATATTACATTTAATTGTAAAACGAAAATATTGAACAATAGTACAGCTTAGATATGAGAAAGATCTTGTTAAGGTGAGATGGAAGCAGAAATGCAGATCTCATCCGATCAAGGAAACCAACTCTTGGGGCTTGAGCTGTAAAGAAAACAGGCAAGACCACAATTTTCCAGAAGCTAAATAAATCGTGCAAACAAGCTCTAATGTGTATTTGATGCTTCCAGTAACACCCCAATATTACACAGCTTTACCACCTCCTCAAACTCTATCAACTCCCAGGATTATGTTGAACAGCATCCAACTTTTTTCACTGCAGATACATCATCCTTCACATTAATGGTTTGTCCTTTGGGCACAGCAGCAGGGTCATCACCAGCTTCCAGAGCTTTTCTGCAGACAACTCGATATATTTGAGTAAGCACCTCTGTGAAAGCATTTTCGACATTTAATGATTCAAGGGCAGAGGTTTCCATGAAGAAGGTTTTTTCTTTCTCAGCAAATGTTTGTGCATCTTCAGTGGAAACAGCGCGTAAATGCCGTAGATCTGCCTTATTCCCCACAAGCATGATCACAATATTAGAATCTGTATGATCTCGGAGTTCTTTCAACCATCTCTCTACATTCTCAAATGTGACGTGACGAGTGCTATCGTAGACAAGTAGTGCACCAACAGCACCACGATAATAAGCGCTAGTAATTGCACGGTACCTAAGAAAGACAGTATAAAAATAAGATGGGTTTTACCTTGTGAAAGAGAGTCTAGTAACAGAGCATATAATAACATTCTAACAAAAAATGATATATAGTCAATCAACTAAGATGAAATACAATCAAATGCAAACGCAAACTAATTGTAATCTTGGCTTAGCCCATTGGTTACCATCGCTTCACTTAGTACTAGTGTAACTAACATAAAAGATCTCCTCCTCTCAGTCAGTGTTATGTGATTATGTGAATGCAAATTGTGGGAGAAAGAGCGAACAGATAAGTAGTTGCTCAATGGCAACAATAAAGGGCAGAAGCAAAGTAGGACTCTAGAAATCCATAATCTACAAAGGTTTCTCAGCTTCTTCAAATGCTTAACGATACACCATCCACTTTCTTTCATTTTACTTTCATATCCTCCCCCCTAAACAATTCACAATATTGTAATTACTAACAGATGAAAGCTTCTCTAACACCTGAAAGGAAACGGACCTTATCAATTGTCCAAAACCACACCTTAAATTATCTACAACTACTAGTTACCAATAATCTGGAGTAATGCAAAATTAACTAGCTATTGATCACCTACAGAAAACTTCAGGATTGTAATATAACCATGAAGAATAACACGGATTAAAAAAGTTTCTAATCACCAAAATTTTTAACTTCAGAAAAATATATGCAGTATATATATATGGGATCATTACATACAAACGGAAGACGCAAGTCTGATTCTGATATGCAATAAACTCAGCATTCAATGGCATGACAATCAAGCCTTTACAATTTTAGATTAAACGAATAAAACCATGTACACATTCTTCATTAATCCTAATAAAAAGGAAATGTGTGAATTTGGTTCAAGGCAATTACAGTAGATATTACAACCTTAACCCTTACGCCAATCTCTAACTTAGATCGAATCGATGAAACAGTCACTACTCTAATGGGCTAAAACTAAAGTTTGTTCGAAAATTTTTGTTCAAAGCTCATTCAACAAACAGAATTTAACAATCTTATACTACAATTGAGCCAAAAACCAAGAAAATAACCCAAATTAACAAGATCCATAACTTATCATATTCAATTACAATTATTCAAACGAATCAACAATTCAACAATGTACAATAAAAAAACTCAAATCATTTACGCAAAATGCACCAGATCCAATCAAAATCAAACCCAAAAATCAAAACCCAACAACAATAAACAGAATCAGAATGCACCGATCTACCCAAAATCAAGAATCAACAACGAAATGTATATAAAGAAAATAAACCTTTCTTGGCCAGCAGTATCCCAAATTTGAGCTTTAACAACTTTATCATCAACACGAATACTCCGAGTAGCAAACTCAACACCAATGGTGGATTTAGACTCAAGGCTAAACTCATTACGAGTAAATCGGGAAAGCAGGTTAGATTTTCCAACCCCAGAATCTCCAATCAACACAACTTTGAACAAATAATCATAATCATCATCTGCTCTATACCCCATTGTAGAAATTGATTAGGGATCAGAAATGGAGAATTGAATGCAGTGGATCTGGAGAAAAGAGAGTACAGTGGGAGTATATTGGGGAAGAGTAGAAAGTTGGGTTGGATCTAGTGTAGGAGGAGAAGTTTCAGGTGCCTATTGCAAATCTCGAAAACTCAGCGGTGGAGAGAGAGAGAGAGGGAGAGAGAGAGAGGGAAGGGAGGAAGGAGAGGGAGCGCATTCAATGATTTGGAAAAAGAAAATTGAAAGTAAGATGTACTCGTAGTTGCACAATTAAACAAACGGTCGAATGGGCTAAAAACAGAAATGAGATCTTGGCTAAATTTTGAAAAAGCTTTTGTTATCATTTTCGTGTTTTGGAGTACTGTACTACGACTCTACGAGCTGTTCCAAGTAGTTTTTTTTTTTTTTTTTGTTGTTGTTGTTGTTGTTGACAAGACGAACTAAAAAAGAACGACAAAACCAAAACAACTAAAAGTACCAGAACAAACAACGACGACGGCGAGCCTGATTAGCCAACCAATGAGCCGAAGCAACCCACTTACGAGGAACCTTCCGCAGTTCACACGCTAGGAATCGAAGAATGATATCCCTAATGTCCTGAAGCAACTAGATGCAGGAAATATCTCAACCTCCTTTGTCCCGAAAAAAGGAAAATAAGGTCGAGCAGTCAGTGTAGATCAACAGACGCCTGAAACCACAACGATCGGCGGCCTTATGAGCCCATAGACACGCCTGTAACTCTGAATGTAGAGCAGAGGAAGAAAGGAAAGATCTTGAACCACCACCAAACACCATATCTGAATTCGGACCTCAAAAAATCCAACCAGCTCTTGCAGATTTACCCTGGACATTATAAGCACCATCAAACACAAGGCAAATATCATATGTAAACCCGGAGGGACCGTGGAGACAACAAGACAAACAAGAAGATCTAGGCCTATGATAGGGGCCTGCACCAGAAAAAGAGAACCAAAGCCTTGATATGTCCATTTTATATAGTGTTTTACCCACGTCCCTTGGTCATAATTGGTAGTGGTTTTTGCTCTTTAGAGCCACTTTTATTACTAATTGGTATTTTCTAGTGTTTTCGTAGTTTTGGTTGACTTTTGTAGAGATTAGCACTTTTGAAGCATTTTCTGGGATATTATGAAGTGATTACGAGCATTGGAGGAGCACCAACAGTTTTTATAGCCTAGGGCCGATTAGAGTCATCGAACCGGTGATTAAGGGCTCAACATTTGAGATTCCAAGGCATTTGGACCGAGTATTCAAGACCAGAAGAGGAAATCCGGATTGGGCCGAAGAATCGGAGCCCAATTGAGAAGTCCAAGTTGCAAAGGGGTGTGGCCCGACCAAAATAGGCACCGCCCGAAGGCGCACCCGGCCGGGCGAGGAAAAGTACCTTGCGCCCGAGCTCGCTCCCAGCCGGGCGCGAGAGACGCTTATAATGGAAAAAAGGGGGGCCCGATTGGGCGGCCCTTCGCCCGACCGAGCGCGAGATTTTTAGGGGGGTTGTTAAGCAATTTTTCTTAGTTTTAATTAGGAGTAATTATTTTTGTATAAATACGGTTTAATGCCTTTTGTTTTAATACTTCTTCTCTTAGACTTTCTCTCTCTACTTAGTTTTAGATTATTTTCTCTCTCTACAACTTTGTTCTCTATTTTGTTCTTAAATCAACTCCTTAATTCCGATTACTTTGGTAACGATTTCTTTTACTTTAATCTCAGTTTTTTACTTTATTTCTCTAATCATGTCTTGTTTAATTGCTCTGGTTAGTTTAGTTTCAATTATGTCTGAGTAGTTTCTTTCTAGGGTTTATGGGGATCCATAATTAATATGAAGAGGTAAATTATTGTTGTTGACTATCAATGCTTGATTAATTTCCTATTGATTGATTTAATGCTCTGCAACTAGATTAGCGTTGGTCCTTTATGTATTAGTTTAGCAATATTGATTCGAGATTCGAGATATGAGAATTGATATTTAGGCTTAGTTTCAATAGGCTGGTTAATTTATAAATGGTTAAGTCGAGATTTGAGAGATGAGATTTAATACCGGTAGATTAATTATGTGATTGTAATATGTAGCGAGAGCCCTTTATGATCGGATTAATTGATGCATTGATGATTGATTATTATGTCTTACCCTGAAATATTATTTATTGGTGAACCTATGCCCTACGTCTTTTATCACTTGATTTTCCTCCTACTTTTATTCCTCTCCACTTTTACTCCTAGTAGTTAAGTTCTCCTTTATAATTACTGATGTGTCTATTTTATATATTATTTTACCCCCGTCCCTTGGTCATAATTATTAGTGTTTTTGGCTCTTTAGAGCCAGTTTTATTACTAATTGGTGTTTTCTAGTGTTTTCGTAGATTTGGTTGACTTTTGCAGGGATTTATGCTTTTGGAGTATTTTCCCGAGATATTTTGGAGCAATCACGAACATTGGAGAAACATGACCAAATTTTATAGCCCAGGGCCGGTTAGAGCCATCGAACCGGTGATTAAGGGCTCGGTATAGGTGATACCGGGGCATTTGGTTCGAGTATTCAAGACCGGAAGAGGAAACCCAGATTGGCCCGAAGTATTGGAGCCCAATCGTAGTCCAAATAGAGGCCCAAGTGAGCCGCCCGGCCAAAGAGGCTGGCGCCCGGAGGCGCGCCCGACCGGGCGGGAGAAGCTAAGGTGGTCGCCCGGTGACGCGCCTGGCCGGGCGCGAGATTAGTATTAGGGAACAAAAGGCGCGCCCGATCGGGCGCGTGTATTTATTAGTTGACGATTAGCGTCGGTTTAGTTTGTTTTAGTTTAGGATTTGTACGGAGTATAAATACTCCTCTGTAATACGATTTTAGGGAATCTCTTTCCTCTCTCTCCTTTTTACTCTTTACTTTCTTAATTGTTCTCTTAGATTTTCTTTCTCAAAAACCTTTGTTCTTAATCTACTCTTAATTTCAGATTTGTTTGGTAACGATTTCTCTTCTCTTAATCTTAGTTATTTATTTTATTCCTTTAATCATGCCTTTCTTTATTGCTTTGATTAGTTTAGTTTTTACTATGTGTGAGTAGTTTTATTTCTAGGGTTTAAGGGGATCCATAAATAATATGAAGGGGTAATTTATTGTTGTTGATTGTCAATGCTAGATTAATTTCCTGTTGATTGATTTAATACTCTGTGACTAGATTAGGCCTGATCTTTTATGCATGAGTTTGACAATATTGATTCGAGATTCGAAAGATGAGAATTGATGTTTAGGTCTAGTTTCAATAGGCAGATTAATTTATAAATGGTTAAGTCGAGATTCGAGAGATGAGATTTAATACTGGTAAATTAATTGTGTGATTGTAATACGTAGCGAAAGCCCTTTACAATCTGGTTAATTGATGCATTGATGATTGACTATTATTGATTATTGGTATTGCATGATAATAATTTCTTATTGAATTGTTTTAACGTTTTACAATTACGGCTTGTAAAAGTATAGCAATATTGAATTGATGAATCGAGCAGATGTTAATTTGATATTAAAGGCTATTTTCAATAAGAACTTAGATCTACTAAATTGCGAGAGCCTGTTAGATCTATGTTGATTAATAAATTGCGAGAGCCTGTTAATCATGTTATTTATGCAATGTCAATGATTGATTATTATGTTTTACCCTGGAGTATTATTTATTGGTGAACATATGCCCTAGATCCTTTTATATATTGTTTTCTCCCTATTCTCATTCTTTGTAGTTTAGTTTCATACTCAAATATAAATATTGGTTACTTCATAATCTAGATTATTTTAGTTAATTAGGAATAGAAAGACTTGTTTCCCTGTGGAGATCGACCCTACTTCCCTATCTACATTAGTTAGAATATTTAGGAATTACTTTTGATTTGGGGATACGACTTTACCCTGTCAATTACAAGTTGGTTACTTAATAATTTAGATTGCTTTAATTAATTTGGAATAGAAAGACCAGTTTCCCTATGGATTCGACCCTACTTCCCTATCTACATAGTTAGTGGATTTAGGTATTATTTTTTATTAGGTGATTACGACTTTAGCCTGTCAAAATTTGGCGCCGTTGCCGGAAAAACGGTTTTATTTTAATTTTTGATTGTTTTTTGTAGTCTAGGTTATTTCTTCTTGTCTCAGAGAACGTCAGTTCTTTGAGGCAAGTCTCATATTTGCTTTTTAGTTCTTTGTTTATGCCCAAGTGTTCCAGATCAGGTTATATCCCCATTCGATCCTTAGATCGAACACTCTTTTCATAGACAAAAGAATCTTTACAGGCAAATCCTGGCGGGTTCTAGGGATAACAATAATCGCCGAGACCTCCAACTGATTCTAGTGATTTAGAGGTACCTTCAGATTCAGAATCAGAGAAAGCGGTACCTCAGAAGCTCAGTGATTATTTGCAGCCGACGCTTTCAGATTTTCCACACCTTACTCCCACTCCGGCTCTTGATGGCGTACAATTCGAGATTAAATCCCAATCTATCACGATGATAAAAAGGAAGCAATTCAGTGGAGCTAAGGGTGAAGACCCAAATCTTCATATTGTAGACTACTGTCAATATTGTATTACCATCCGGCAAGTTGGGGTCACACAGGACCAAATCAGGGAGATTCTCTTATAGGAGTTTATAGGTACTACGCAGCGGAAATAAATATGAATCATATTCAATCAAGTACCAATCCCAAGAATCACATGCATAACACACAAGACACATAATCATACCTTTGAAGCGTTAATTCCACGTAGCTATTCGACGGGCAAATCAGGGAGAGAATAAAGCCCCAAGCGTTGCTCCTCTACTTAGTCTACGAGATTCGAACGAGCCGTCCACCAATACTAGATTGGTCGAGTGATTGAGGAAAACCGCGATCACCACCTTTACGGACAACCTACCACCGCACGAACCACCACCACCACCACGAACCACCACCGGCGTTAGGAGGAGGAGAGAGCCGTGAGAGAGAGGACTATGAGAGGGGTTGGGTTTCGTGTTTGCTAATTAGGGTTTGATCACACTGATCAGCTAATTGCTTCATTCATGCAAACCTAGGAACCTAGTCTATTTATAATCTCATTATAATTAGACTAGGGCACGAAGCCCAAAACCTCTTCTAATCCTCCATATGGCCGACCACCTAGAGTGATGAGGCCCATGATGGGCCTCTTCCTCTAATGCTTGATCTAACCCCTTTGTGTGACCTTATAGGATCCGTCCAATTGGGATTTGGGTTATTTTACTAGTCCAAAGATCGTTAGTACCTCTATCTATGGCAAAACGACGACCAAAATGTACGAACTTAATTATCTCCATAATTTGATCCATTTATATATCTAGTAATTGCACACAACGAAGACATA